GTCCCCAAACATCTAGAAGGCCAAGTTTGGGGATGCCTGGTTTAAACTGTTGATAGCAGATGAAGGGGAACATAATTGATAACATGTCATTTGCGGACTTAAAACAACAACAGTGAATACCAATAGTAATTGTTGGATTGATTTCCATTCCAAACATGGAATGAACAAGCAAACTTTGGCAATTTCCATTTCCTATGGAATTCTTCAACACCTCTACTCCCAAGTCCACATTTGAAAGCTGACAGCAGCATCCTCCCTTGTCTCTCACATGCCAACCACTGCTGCCTCCATATGGTGGCCTACATGAGCTATTGGTCTGCAGTGGGTGGGGGAACCTTTATCAGTCTGAGGGGCGCATTTTCTTCTAAACAATCTTGTAGTGGGCACATGTTTAGGGTAAGTGGAATGATTGATGTAAATTTTAAATATGTATAGTAGAGTAGCTTCTATACACATTGGTATACCTCCTCTCTATCCTCCATCTGGGCAAGCAAGAGGCATTATCAGAGTTCAAAGACATTTTGTTGGCGTGGGTCTGTCTTGGGAGGCAATGCAGGAGTGTGCCTTTGGGGGTGAAGTCAAACTGTTGTTCGGTTACACCTGCTGTGGCTGTAGAGACCAACACAAGAGAGACATGTTTTGTCGCAGCTGGGGCAGATTAAGGCAACCCATTGTGCTGTTGGAGGTTCACCATGGGGTTTCTTCTCTCTGTGCTCCTCCCAGCAGTCATTCCTCTTCTGGTCACTGCTGTGGATACACGGCCTGTCTGTCTGTCTCCAGGTACTGTGGTCATCTGCAAGTGATTCACGCATGGCGTGAAGTTGATGTTGCCAACCTTCAGACATACTGCAGCAAGGCAAAAACACTGATGCAGGGTACAAAGCAGGGCCAGTGAGTGGTGTGATCCTGGGCTCAGGTTTCCCACCTTTGGCCTAGGATGACATCAGAACAAGCTCTTCAGATTTGTCGCCCAGCCAGCAAGTTTTCAGCCATTTTTTTCCCATGGGAAACCATTTGGAATGCAAGAGAAATTTGTGAGCATTAAAAATAATTTAAGTCACTTAATTGTCATTTTTTGGCAAGAAGAAAGAAATGTTAAAACCCCAAAGCTTGTGTTTTCTGGCTTGGACAGAAGACTGTGCTGAAATCTTTGTTCTTACTTTAGGATTTTTCCTCCTTTGAAATGTTGCCCTTAAAATAAATATTGGTACTTTGTCAACATAAGTTGTTGAGAGGCTCTTACAGACTTTGGAAGATGCCATACATTATTGACATTTCTACCATACCCTTTTTTTCAAGGAGCTTAGAGCAGTATACAAGGAGTTACCCCATTATATCATCACAACAAGCTTATGTATTAAGGTTAGTCTCTCCAAGGTCACCCAGGAGCATATATTTTAGCATGTCTCCCCATATATATTAAATCAACACCCTAATATTTGTGTGTGAGAGAGAGAGGGGGGGAGGGGGTTGCCAGTTGCTGGTTGTTGTCTCTTCATCACGCTCCAGGGTGACAAGTCAAGAACTGATCAGTAAATCACTAAACCACTAAACTGATTGCTAATTCACATAAATCACCAAACCACAATGCAATAAAACGGAGAGGAATGAAACTATTCAACCAGCTGAAAATACACTGCCACTCCCAGTCCCAGTAAGAGCATTCTCACAGTGTTGAGGGAGAGGAAGGGCCATTTAGATTCCAGATTCAGTCCCCCACCCCACTTCCCCAATCCAGGTTGAATTGTGAGGGCAGGACAGGGATGAGGCAGAAGAATGCGGGTGCAGGATACACTATGAAACTGCCCTATAATTAGGCCATTGGTCCACCTAAGTCAGGGACAGCCAGTGTGGTGGCCTCTGGATACCATTGAACTACATTTCCAATAATCCCTTACCATTGGCGTTGATGCCTAGGATTCATAGGAATTGGAGTCCAACAACGTCTGAAGGGCCCCCAGTTCCTCGTCCGCAGTCTATCCCAACTACTCCAGGGGCTTAGGCATAGGTCTTCTCCAGCCTTTAAATGGGGGTGCCAGGAACCAGAAGGGTCTTGACAAGTGGGGCAGAGCCACTTTGCTAGCAGGTGGGTTCATGCTGAGAGAAAGAGGGGCAATGTGAGGTTGGGGTGGTGCAAATTCTCTGCTGGAGCCAATCCAGCACATTGACACTGTGCTGACTCCCCCACAGCCTTGTCCCTCCCAGCTGGCAACAGCAATGCACCTCCCAGAAAGCTAACTTAGTGGCTCTGCCCCACCTGCTGAGCTGTTCCTGCCAGGGTTTTAATTTGGGACCTTTTGCATGCAAAGCATGAGGTGTGTCACTGAGCTATGAGCCCTCAAGTGCACGGATTTGTGGGGTTCAAATTCAGGCATCAAAAATAAATACTGAGAAAAGGAAACGTAAATGATTCATATTTTCTGTCCCCTGCATCTCACAACATCCAAAGCCATCCTCAGTAAAAAAAAATAGTTAAAAAGCAGGGCACATCTACTAAACCCAAATACTTGCAAGTATGAACGTGGCCATAATGAAATAAAAATATTTTCTGTAATGTTCCTATTGAGCCTTGTATAAAGTTACTTTTTGAATATATGCAGGTAAGGATGTTGGAGAATTCTGACAAAAACAGAAACGGGAATTGGCAATGTTTGCTTATTCGTCCCACGATCAGAATGGAAATGAATCCAGTGAATATGATTGGTATTCACTTTTGTTGCTGTCAGTACACAAACAATTCGTAAGTGGTCGTGTGTGTCTCCCTCCCCGACACAATTTGCATTGAGTTTTCTTTGAAATGAATGGAGTGGAAGAACAAAATGACAATGAAATTTACCGTATTTTTCGCACGATTGGACGCACCGGACCATAGGACGCACCTAGTTTTTTTGGGGGGAAATAAAGGAAAAAATTTTCCCCTTTATTTCCCCCCAAAAGCAGGTCAGGGAAACCGAACCAGGTCGAGGAACAGCGGGATAGTGGCGCTGCGCCTCCCTGCTGTCCCCCAAGCTTGTGGGGCTGGCCGATGTCTGTCCGGCGGGCGGGGAGCTCTGCTTCAGGGCGCCCCACCCGCCAGGCAGCAGGCTGCTATCCGCAGCGTGGGGAGCCCTGTGGGGAACTCCTGCAAGGTTCCCCACTCTGCGGATGTCTGCCTGGCGCGAGGGGCGCTCTGCTTCAGGGCGCCCCACCCGCCAGGCAGCAGGCTGCTATCCGCAGTGTGGGGAGCCTTGTCGGGAACTCCTGCAAGCCTCCCCACTCTGCGGATGTCTGCCTGGCGTGAGGGGCGCTCTGCTTCAGGGCGCCCCACCCGCCAGGCAGCAGGCTGCTATCCGCAGCGTGGGGAGCCTTGTCGGGAACTCCTGCAAGCCTCCCCACTCTGCGGATGTCTGCCTGGCGCGAGGGGCGCTCTGCTTCAGGGCGCCCCACCCGCCAGGCAGCAGGCTGCTATCCGCAGCGTGGGGAGCCTTGTCAGGAACTCCTGCAAGCCTCCCCACTCTGCGGATGTCTGCCTGGCGTGAGGGGCGCTCTGCTTCAGGGCGCCCCACCCGCCAGGCAGCAGGCTGCTATCCGCAGCGTGGGGAGCCTTGTCGGGAACTCCTGCAAGCCTCCCCACTCTGCGGATGTCTGCCTGGCGCGAGGGGCGCTCTGCTTCAGGGCGCCCCACCCGCCAGGCAGCAGGCTGCTATCCGCAGCGTGGGGAGCCTTGTCGGGAACTCCTGCAAGCCTCCCCACTCTGCGGATGTCTGCCTGGCGAGAGGGGCGCTCTGCTTCAGGGCGCCCCACCCGCCAGGCAGCAGGCTGCTATCCGCAGCGTGGGGAGCCTTGTCGGGAACTCCTGCAAGCCTCCCCACTCTGCGGATGTCTGCCTGGCGCGAGGGGCGCTCTGCTTCAGGGCGCCCCACCCGCCAGGCAGCAGGCTGCTATCCGCAGCGTGGGGAGCCTTGTCGGGAACTCCTGCAAGCCTCCCCACTCTGCGGATGTCTGCCTGGCGCGAGGGGCGCTCTGCTTCAGGGCGCCCCACCCGCCAGGCAGCAGGCTGCTATCCGCAGCGTGGGGAGCCCTGTGGGGAATTCCTGCAAGGCTCCCCATGCTGCGGATGTGTTCCCGAAGCGCCTGGAGCTCTGCTTTCAGGGCGCCTGGCGCTCCGGGAAGCAGGCTGAGCGGAGCGCTAATCCCGAAGCCCCAAGCTTCGGGATTAGCGCGGCGCTTCGCTAGCCCTGGGAGAGCCACGCAACGTCGCGGGGCTCTCCCAGGGCTAGCGAGACCTTGCCGGCACCCAGAAGCTTGGGGCGCGCTGAGCTCCGCGCGCCCCAAGCTTCGGGATTAGCGCGGCGCTTCGCTAGCCCTGGGAGAGCCACGCAACGTCGCGGGGCTCTCCCAGGGCTAGCGAGACCTTGCCGGCACCCAGAAGCTTGGGGCGCGCTGTGCTCCGCACGCCCCAAGCTTCGGGATTAGCGCAGCGGTCCGCTAGCCGTGGGAGACCTGGGTCTCCCACGGCTAGCGGATAGCTTCCTGAAGCCTGGAGAGCGAGAGGGGTCGGTGCGCACCGACCCCTCTCACTCTCCAGGCTTCAGCGAAAGCCTGCATTCGCTCCATAGGACGCACACACATTTTCCCTTGCTTTTTGGGAGGGATAAAGTGCGTCCTATGGTGCGAAAAATACGGTATATAATTACCGTATTTTTTGCACCATAACACTCACTTTTTTCCTCCTAAAAAGTAAGGGGAAATGTCTGTGCGTGTTATGGAGGGAATGCCTACGGGTGGCATGCCTACGGATTTTCCTCCTCTAAAAACTACGTGCATGTTATGGTCGGGTGCGTGTTATAGAGCGAAAAATACGGTAATTACATAATTTACTAAATTTCACCACAGCAGACAGTGAGATGAATAACATGGTTTTTGGCAGTAGACAAACTGCAGTGGAATGGAAACAGTGCTGCACGCAGTAAATACAGGGTGGAATGTGAAATAATGCCTTCTGACATACCTAGGTGCAGGTGGGCGGTGTGAAACCAGTATTGGATGCTATATGCTACAGATGCCTTTAAAAGAGAGGGACAGAGACCTCACCTGGGCAATTCCATGTCCGGACTGAAGCTTCAATGTGTGCAAATGGAGAAGGTGGAAACCACAGGTTCCTCATAAAAGAGAGATGTCTGAACTGAAGTAAGCTGGAAAAGGAGGGGTGTATCAAGTAAGCTGGGAAAACATGTCCTCCCTTTCTCTCTGCTTGACTAATTTTACTTAATTCAAACCAGCCACTAGCCTTGAAGGGCCACTTGGGTGGAAAGGAGTTGACTCTGAGGGAACACACATCATTTCAAGACATGTGTCTTCACTTCTTTGGGGAAAGAAATGGGGAGGCAGGCAATAGGTAGATTGGGGGGTGGCTGCAATGTTCTTTTGGAAAACTAGATATATTAACATGGTTCTGGCATTTTTCCAGAGTTCCTCAAAGGCAGCCTCCAGGGACAGCAAGACTTTTGCTGGATGTCTCATTTTGTCTACTGACAGACAGCATGACTGGAAATAAATCCACTTACTGGCATATTGTAAAATTCATCACATGCCCAGGGGAACCCTATCCACCCACCCATAAACTTCCTGCTAGCAAATCTGATTCTGGCTTAAGAACAGAGGCTCTGGATTCAAGACAGACTGTTCTAGCTCTCCCAGGCTGTCAGGCAATTCAGTATGCATCAGTACCAGCTCCTGCTCTGTTTCCAGGTGCAAAAGGCAATAACAGCCAGCATGGTGGGGCTAGTGATGGGCAAGTACAGCAAGCCCTCAGTTTATGAGGGCACCACCCTTAAAGACAAAATTGTGTATCATCAAAACACATTTGGTGTCAATATCTTTTTTTCTGTGGGAAAAATGCCAAGCGCGTAAAGCTGTATGTGTACAAGTTAAATGCACACAAGTTGCAGGCTCACTATATGTCAATTTCAGTTTCTCACCATTGCTCATTTTTCCAGCGTTAAGTTCAGTTCTCACATTTCCACATCAGTTTGTGATTTTTTCAAAGTTATTCTGAAGATTCATCTAGATTTTAGTAAAAACTTTTCATGAAAATTCACCAGTGTTTTAGCAATAATTCCTCCTAATATACACATTTTTTGAAATTTTTCAAAGCACATTTCCCTAATATTTATATTTCTCTAATGCATGTTATTTTCGCTAATATATGCAGTTATTGGCACACTTTCATTTTGTATATGTGTATCATATACATTACTTTGCTGGATAAATGCACGGTAACATTTGGAGAAGCGCAAATTTCAAAGGATGGTTGTGTTTTGGTTCAGGTATCATTTTGGAAAGTGTGAATTGCTTGGCTCATGAGGACTTTTTTTAAAATGGTAAACTGATGTGGAAATGAGGAGAACTAGACATAAGACTGGAAAAATGAGAAACTGAGAGAGCTTGAGGAATTGTTGTTGTTAATTCTACCCTATGCTTCCTTCTGAAGTTGCCCAGGACAGCAAGCATATAATTAAAACAGTAACATTAAAACTCTCTTAAAAGTTCTAAGAATTGTTTTAAAACAACCACCTCCTCTCTCAGCCAATGATTTTAGGGTTGCCAAGAACCTTATCTCTCCGTCATCAAATGCCTGGGTAAACAGGAATGTTTTTAAATTCCTCCTGGGGTTTAATAATGAGGGAGGACATTCCACAAATGGGGAGCTATTATGTTATGCTATGCTGTTATGGGTCGACACCAACCAGGCATCCCCAAGTGGCAGCACCATCAACAAGTCCTCCTCTGCTGGTCACAGGGTCTAAGATAATGGAGAAGGTGCTTGGATCTCAAGTGATTTAGGGCTTGGCATGCTAGCACAAACACCTTGATTTGAGTCCTGTAGCTGACTGGCAGCCATCACACATGCTCCCATCAGGCTGCCCCACTTACCAGCCCAGCAGATGCATTCTATACTCCCTGAAGCCTCCAGACCATCTTCAAGGGAAGCACCACATACATCACATTACAGTAGTGCGGACAGGAGGTCGCCAGAACATGGAAAACTGAGGCCAGGCTATCCCAGCCCAAGAACAGTCTAAGCTGGACATAAGCACTTGTACTCACCTGAGACTCCAGTGACAAGTTGGAATCCAGGAGTGCTCCCAGAGTAGAAAACCATTCCTTCAGGGGGGAGTGCAACCTCTCTCTGAACATTGTGGGCTTTCAGCCCACAATAAGCAAGCTGGGTGCCCACACCACCAATCTCTAGATTTGACCAGAAGACAACTTCTGTAGCCCTTTCCATCACTTTTCCTGGGGTTGCCTGGGGGTGGTGCAGTTAGATCATTTTAGACTCTGGATTCAATAGTCTTACAGTGGCAGTGGTCATGGCAGGGCTCTTTCAACAGCACTGTGTAATGTTTCATTTAGGTCACAGCCACATTATAAGAGTGCCAGTATACTATTATACCCAATATACCTGAAGGAGCGTCTCTACCCACATCTTTAAGCCCAGACCCTGAGGTCCAGCTCTGAGGGCCTTCTGGCACTTTCATCACTGTGAGAGGTGAGGTAATAGGGAACCAGGCAGAGGGCCTTCTCAGTGGTGGCACCCGCCCTGTGGAATGCCCTCCCATCAGATGTCAAGGAAATAAACAACTATCTGACTTTTAGGAGACATCTGAAGGCAGCCCTGTTCAGGGAAGTTTTTAATGTTTGATGCTTTATCATGTTTTTAATATTCTGTTGGGAGCCCCCCAGAGTGGCTGGGGAAACCCACCCAGATGGGTGGGGCATGCATAAATAAATAAATAAATAAATAAATAAATAAATAATAATAATTATTATTATTACTACTACTACTACTACTACTACTACTACTACTTCAAAACACAGTAAGTCAACCATTTGGTATTGGACGGGCTGCTGGGTGGGGACATGAATTTCTGCACTCAACCCCTGCCCTGAAAGTATGGCTGTGTTGTCCTTGGACTGGAGTTCCAATCCCTGCTCAGCCATGAAGCTTCCTGGTGGACATAAACTTAACTTACTTTACTAGGTTGTTGTGAAGATTACTGTCACACATTTTGCCCCAAGCTTCCTGGAGGAAAAAATGAATACACTTATGACTACATTTACAACTGCCCACCCATAATTGCAGCCCATAATTGCCCCAGTTTTGTGTGGAGCTTTAATCCACATACATATCCAGAAGGCCAGACAAAGGCTATCTATTATAGAACTGGCTTCTGTGTGAACACGGGTGTCAGAACACAAGCAAACTGTGTAGCTCCGACTCTGTAGAAATGGTGTGCAATAAATTAGTTCCAAGGAAAAATAAATAAATATATATATCTTACTATATTCTGAACAGCTGCTGTTTCGTTTTATGGAGTCATTTTCCAGGGAGCTCCACCAGGGAAGAAAAACAAGATTCCCAAGAGTGGAGCTGGTTTAATATTTTTCAGCATAATGAAATGTTGAGAGCCTTGCAAGTTTGGATGATACTGAAGAGCGATTTCAGATTTGTCTGACCTCGAATAAAATGTCCAAAGTTTTAAAAATATCACTGCATGCTTCCCCTCACTCCAGTGAGGTAGCTCTGCCAGCTTTGGTTTCCTTTGCATGAGAAGGGCAGACTAACAGAGCAATCCAAACCCCCTTTGTGCTGTGGATGGGCAGAGGTTAGGACTTTGCTTCAATTCACATTTAAAGGCAAAGTTACCGGATTCACACTTCCCAAAACAATATGCGAACCCCAATACAGCAATCCTTCAAAACTCACACTTATCTAAATTTTGCAGTGCAGTTCTCCAGCCCAGAAATGTGTCAAAAGATAAACACAATAGGGTGAAACATGCACGTAAATGCATATATTAATTAAAATAACATGCAAAAATGCATTATATTAGGGAAATTTTGTTTTGCAAAAACGTGAATATTAGGTAAAATTGCATATAATTACATATATTTTCAGGAACCAACTTAATTTTTGTAATTTTAAGTTGCAAAAACTTTTTTCTCTTTTAATAAGAGTCCTTCGTGTCTGTGCCAGAAGGGCATGCTATAAATATTTTAATTAATAAATTACTCCCTGAATTTTCACTGTGTTTTCTGTTTTTTTCTTTCTTTCAAGTATTCACAAAGTCTTTGAGACTGGTGTGCTCAGCAGTGCCTTCTGCTGGGTAGAATTGGAACTGCTAAGTCATTTTAAGAAGCCTAACAAGAAATCTCGAATATTTGTGCACCACAAAATTGGGATGGGGTGTATTTCCATCAACTTTGGGGGACTTTAAATTCTAGCCATACTTTTGTGTGCGCGCACAGCGCACAGGAGTTTCTATGATTTATGATGAGGTGACAGAGGTTTCGTCATAGATCCTGTGACTTTTTTCCCTTGCAAAAGTGGGGAGAGGGTAATTTCACTGGCTTTAAAGATAGTTTTTGAATTCCATCCATACTTTTGTTGTGAGGGGAGTTACTATTATTTAAGAGGTGCTGGTGGATATATTGTCTCTCTCCTCCTCCCTACCATTTCCTTCCTTAGGCAACCTGGATGGGACATTTTCACTGTCTCTCTCTCTCTCTCTCTCTCTCTCTCTGTGTGTGTGTGTGTGTGTGTGTGTGTGTTCAAATTCCATTAGTATTGGGGAGGGCAGGGATTACTATTACTTAAGATGAGGTGTGGCAGAGTTTTTGGACCTCCCACTACCAAAACTAGGATGACCATGTCTCCTATTTTAAAGTGGACAGTTCTATTTTACACTGGCAGGAAGACATTTTTTCAGCCAGAGGGCTGTTTTTCCTTCTGGTCAACCACCTTGAGCAGGGGTCAGCAACCTAAGGCCCATGGGCCGGAAGCAACCCTTTGAGGTCGTTTGACCGGCCCACGAGCCGCCCTTGAACCAAGCCACCCGCTCATGCGCTGCGCTAAACCGGCACAGCGTGGCACGGGGACTCACTTCTGCGACGCCGGAAACTGTGTCTGCATATGCGCAGACCCTGAAAATCACATCTGTGCAGACACAGAAAATCACGGGCGTGCTCACGCGTGTGCACAATCCGGCCAACGGAGGGATCTCCACAGGACCGATCTGGCCCAAGATAAATCCTATCTTGAGGGCCATATGCCACTGATGAGCAGATCCAGAGGCAAAAGTGATTAGAGCAACAAGCATAAATGTTAACTTTGTGCAGCAGGTTAGTTTCTTCACACACGGCACAGCCTTCTCTGTGCTCCATCCATCCAAGCAAGCAAAAGCATTATCGTTCCAGCCAGGCAAAAATACTCCAGGAGCGAAGCAAAGGCCAACAAGGAGTGTGGCTTGTGGAGAGTTCTGGGGACCAGATGAAGAGGCCCAGGGCTTGAGTTTCCCCACCTTGATATAGACTAATCTGTCTCTATCTCCCCAAAGGTGTGGAGTCATAGAAAGAATAAATAATGGAGGTTCTAGAGCTTGCTATTTAGGACAAGATTCAAGTAGGTTGCTGCATGCGTGGAACAAGGTCAACTGGCACAACAGGACTTCCCCGCCACTCTCACCATGCACCCCCACACTCCCTAAATCTGCTCTGGAGGGTTGAAGGAACCCCAGAACAAGAATAGGGGTGCTCAGGGGTCACATAGTGGGGAGAAAAGGAGAAAAGTCCTATTGTGAAAGGGGCCTCATTATCTGCACGTATTCCCCACTAAGTGTTACGTGGAATTGCACCCGTAACATGGTATATTAGTTACATCCATGCGCTCTCTTTGGGGGGAAGAATCACACATATTCATGTATAAATAAAGATTCTACATGAAGGTAACACAATATTAGCCCATCAAAAGTGGAATTTTGTGATTATACAAATCAAGCTTATTTTCACATAGATTTTGCATGTTTGTCATAAAATGGGACTGAAATCCTGCCCAAGACTACTGGGAAATCTCAGTTATTCAGTACCTTACTTTCTGAGATTCGCCTGACATGTAGTCAAACTATAAGGACTAGAAGCTTGAGATTCTCATGAATCTGAATTCTTTGCCTCCCACCTGCATGCTTGCACAGAATGACAGAAAATATAATCAACTTTGGAAAGTGCTCCTAGTACTTGCTATTTGCTGTATTCTTGAAACATTCTTTTAAAAAATGGTAAAGAGCTGACAACCCAACTGGAGCTAAGCCCAGGTCAGCAAAAGCAGCTGCTAGTCCTGTTCTTGCCTTCCTCTCCCCCCTGGCAACCCTTTCCTTAAAAGAAAAGCTGTTCAATTCAGGGATTTCCTTTGTAATTAGACATGTTAGTTTTATGATTTTAATCTGCAAACTACTGTAGCTACCAACAACAGGTTGTTCTTGAGAAAATGCTATATTTTCGACTGGCTTAGAAATCAGCTCTAAATGTGGCTATTTGTTCTCCAGTATATTCTGGGAGGGAAGTAAGGGGAATTCTGAAGAAGGAGGAGGAGGGTTTGGATTTAATATCCCGCTTTATCACTACCCGAAGGAGTCTCAAAGCGGCTAACATTCTCCTTTCCCTTCCTCCCCCACAACAAACACTCTGTGAGGTGAGTGGGGCTGAGAGACTTCAGAGAAGTGTGACTAGCCCAAGGTCACCCAGCAGCTGCATGTGGAGGAGCGGAGATGCGAACCCGGTTCCCCAGATTATGAGACTACCGCTCTTAACCACCAGACCACACTGAAATCTCCAGTTTCCCTTTTCCTTCAGATGTAGGGTGCTGTAACTGGGGCCAGCTCTGAAGCAGTATTTGGGTCAAATGCATTTTTATATTGTTGTAGAAAAGTGCATTAAATCAGTTCCTGATGGTATCATTATTTAAATCTCTTGCCTTTTTCTCCACCACTCTGCTCAATGCAGTGCTATCCAAGATTCTGGGAGTGTTCATCAAGGGCCTAGTCCTGCTTAGACAGCAGCAAGGTTACAACGTCATGAAATATCAGCCATGCAAAACTGCAATTATTTCCTACATTTCTTTGGAATCTCTGAGATGGAGGAACATGTCAAAGTGGGTGTGGTCAAGGTATAAAAGTGGGCCAAAATGTGGTGGGTGTGGCTGGGGGGGGAGGCATCACAGAATCACAGCAAGGGACCCACAAAAATGGTCAGTTATAGTCTATTTTTTAAAAAAATGTTTAATGGACACATCTGAGGTGGTCTTGGGGACCCACAAGAAAATGCATTCTAGTATCACAGCAGGGGACATATATGAGCAGTCAATTATTTAAAAAAAAGTTAAAAATGAAAAAAAAGGTGAGGGGGCTCTTTTGGGCCACACAAAAAAACCAAAACTACCAACCCACCAACTTTTTGGTATTATGGCAGCCCAGCAGGAGACACATAGGAGTGACAAAACAAAAACTCTTTTTTAAAAGTTACTTTTTTAAAAGATTGACAAACTTTTGGGATCTCTTGGGGAACCACAAAAAACTTGAGTGTGTGTATATGTGTGTATGCATGCTGCCCCTTGGCTAGCCTCCCACACTCTCAGGAATGATGGTTTCTGTCAGAAAAGGCAAGTCCTCCAGACATGTGGGATTGTGTGGTGCCACTTCAGGGTGAAGGATGATGGAGTGCTGGTTCAAATACTCCTCTGCAGTAAAGTCTCTCCTGCAGAAAGCTAGCTTGCCAGTGTAAACACCAGTGAAGGGCACCAGCATTGAATCTGGATATGCGCTTCATTAGCCTCATTAAGGAACTGAGCATGGCAAATTCCTAATTTTTTTCTCTGGTTTGGATTAAAATGTGAGCAGGTCATGGGAAATTAGGGGTTTAGCCCAAGGCTTCATGGAAAATGTGATTTTTTTAAAGGAGGAATTTAAAAGAAATTTGAGAGGATCCAGAGCAGCACACCTGGTTTCTGGATAGGCTTGAATATCCTAGTCTTCTAGAAATCCAGCTACATTTACAACTCTTCAGAGAGAAGTTTCTTAAAAGCCAAGAAAAGGAAGAAGAGAGAAAAGAAACACCTGAAACCAAGGCATGACCAGTCTTTGCTATAGCGTCTCCAACCCTCGGCACCCAGTAACTTAAAAGGGTAAGCAGGATTTTTGTCCCTGATGAAATAATTTGTTTTTCCTTTAGTTGTAAAACAGCACGTGGCCC